GCGTTGGGAGGTCACATTGTGGTTGCACACGACATTGGTTAGGCCACTTTTGTAATTCTGGTCTCCGTGCTATAGGAAAGATGTTGCAAAATTTTAAAGAGTTCAGAAACGAGTTACACGGATGTTACCTGGGTAGGAGCATTTGAGCTATAGGGAGAGGCTGTATAGGCTGGGGCTATTTTCCCTGGAGTGTCACAGGCTAAGGGGTGACCTTATAGAGGTTTATAAACGCATGAGGGCCATGGATAGGGTGAATAGCCAAGGTCTTATCCATAGGGTGGGTGAGTCCAAAGCTAGAGTGCATAAGTTTAAGGTGAGAGGGGAAAGATTCAAAAGGGATCTAAGGGGCAACTTTTCCACACAGAGGGTGGTGCATATATGGAATGAACTGCCAGATGAAATGGCGGACGCTGATACAATTACAACATTTAAATGGCATCTGGATGGGTATATGAATAGGAAAGGTTTAGAGGGATATGGGCCAAATGCTGACAAATGGGACTAAATTAATTTAGGATATCTGGTTGGTATTGACGAGTTGGACCGAAGGGTCTGTTTCCATGCTGTACAGCTCCAAGACTCTGCAGAGGCAAGGTTTAATTAGGGATAATCATGGCATTGTCAGACAGAGGTCATGCTTAACAAATCTGTTTGAATTTTACAAGAAGGTGACCAATTGTGTGGATGAGGATAGTGCAGTTGATGTAATATATGGATTTCAGCAAGACCTTTGACAAAGTTCTACATGGAAGACTAATAAAGAAGGTGAAAGCACATTGTATACAGGGTAACTTGGCAAGTTGGATCCAAAATTGACTTAGTGACTGGAGATGAAGGATGGTGGCAGAAGGCTGCGTGACTGGAGGCCAACATCCAGTGGCATATCCATGGGAATCCAAATGTTAAGGGCAATGGTGGTAGGGGGTTTGTAGTTTGGGGGCCAGGTTGAAATAGTACATAAGTTTGTGGATGACATGAAGATTGACTGGATGGTTGACAGTGAGGTAGAAGGTCTTAGGTACAGGAGCATATAAATGGATTGGTCAGATAGGCAGATCAGTGGCACATGGAATTTAATCGTGCTAAGTGTGAGGTGATGCGCTTTGGAAGAAGTAACAATGGAGTACTCAATGAATGGTGGAACTTAGAGGACAGAGGGATCTTGGAGTTCTTGTCCTCAAATCCCTGCAGGTGGCAGGGCATGATAACAGGGTAGTTAAGAAAGCAGATGGGACAATTGCCTTTATCAGTAGAGGCTCGATTATCAGATCAGGAAGGCTATGTTGGAGCTGTACAAATCTTTGGTTGGGCCACAGCTGGAGTACTGTATGCAGTTCTGGTCACCACACTACAGAACAGTGTGATTACACTGGAGGGGATGCAGATGAGATACATCAGGATATTGCCTGGATGGAGCACTTTAGTTATGAAGAGAGGCTGGTTAAGCTTGGTTACTTTCTTTAGAGCAGAGAAGATTGAGGGGTGAACTGATAAAGGTATAAGATTATGTGGGGCATAGACAAGGTGGATAGAAAGCAGCCGTTCCCCTTCATTGAAGGGTCAATACAAGAGAACATACTTTTACGGTGGAAGGCAGAAAGTTTAGAGGAGAATTGAGGAAAAATATGATGGCAAAAACAAAGAAATCATGGCAATTTTTTATATTTCCCTGGTTAGACCTCAGCAACAATACTGTATACAATTCTGAGTACCATGTTTTGGGAAGGATAACAAGGCCTTGGAGAAAGTGCAGAGGAGGATTACCAAGGTGATACCACAGAGAGAAAATTTCATTTGTGTGGAGATGGAACTGTTCCCCTAATGAGAAAAGATTAAGGGGTAACTTTATAGAGGTAATCAAAACAATGAAAGTGGTTGATTGAGCAAATGAGAAATTGTAATACTAAGACAGTGGCTTGGTAACCATATCCAGAGATCAAAGATTTAAAACTAATTGGCAATAGAGGCACAAGGGGAATACATGGTAAATGTGTTAGTAACCATAATCAGAGATACGAAATTTAAAATAATTGGCATACAGCCAGAGGGGAAATGAGGAAAAAATATTTCCCACAGATGGTAGTTGAGATCTTGAATTCATAACCTGAAAGATTTCAAAGGAACTTTCCAAAATGAATTGGACGCGCATTTGAGAAAGACTATGTCAGAGGTTAGGCCAAAATATTAAGTGTAGCACTAAACTGGACAGCTCTTTCACAGAACTGGCACAGACACACTGGGCCAAATGATTTCCTTTTTTGCTGGAAAATTTTGCAGTTCTAGCTGTGGATTACTGTCTTGACTGGTTTATGGCCAGCAGACAGCCAGATGCTGAGCTGGACCACAGCAATCCATGTTATACATTAACGATCTGGAGGAGGGAACTGAGGGCATTGTTGCTAAGTTTGTAGATGACACAAATATAGGTGGAGGGATGGGTAGTGCCGAGGAAGTGGGGAGCCTGCACAAGGATTTGGACAGGCTAAAAGAGTCAACAAAGGAGTGGAAAATGGAATACAATGTGGGAAAGTATGATGTTACGCACTTTGGTAGGAAGAAGAGAGGTGTAGACTATTTATTAAATGGGAAAAGGCTTTGGAAATCTGAAGCACAAAGGGACTTAGCAGTCCTAGTTCAGGATTCTCTGAAGTTTAACATGCAGGTTGGTTATCAGTTTGGAAGGCGAATGCAATGTTAGAATTCATTTCAAGAGGGCTAGAATACAATAGCAGAGAAGTACTGCTCAAGCTGTATAACCATGATGTGGAGGTGCCGGTGTTGGACTGGGGTGGGTAAGGTCAAAAATCACACGACACCAGGTTATAGTCCAACAGGTTTATTTGAAGTAACAAGCTTTCAAAGTCTCGCTCCTTCTTTAGGTGTCAGTGAAAGAGGTGGCATCACATGCAGAATTTATAAGCAAAAGATCAAAGGGTCTTAGAACTAATGTGAATATGTTGAACAAACCTAAGTTGGCTATTAAATCTTTAGTCAGTTAGAAATAAATTCCTACTTTGGAAATAAAACCAGTCTGACTCCAAGTTGATACACAGATTCTAAACAAGGCCTCACACCTAAAATGCATTGTCTGACCTGGAATGTCACTTCTGGTATATTGAGGGAACTGATAACACCTTTAGTTATCTCGGGGCAGTGACTTGAAAGAAATTCTGGAATTTGCATATTAATCCTTGCTAACTGATTAAGATTTATCAGCCATCTTAGGTTTGTTCAACACATTTACATGAGTTCTATGACCCTTTGATCTTTTGCTTATAAATTGTGTGTGATGCCACCTCTCTCACTGATACCTGAAGAAGCAGTGAGACTCTGCCTTCAAATAAATCTGTTGGAGTATAACATGGCATCATGTGATTTTTGACCAGGCTGTATAAGGCTCTGGTCAAATCACATTTGGAATATCGTGATAAATTTTGGGCCCCATACCGAAGGAAGGATGTGTTGGCATTGGAGGGGGTCCAGAGGAGGATTGCAAGAATGATCGCAGGGATGAAGGGCTTGTCATGATGAGCGGTTGAGAACTCTGGACCTGTACTTGATAGAATTTGGAAGGATGAGGAGGGATCTCATTGAAACTTATAGAATACTGACAGATCTGTATAGGGTGGATATGGAGAAGATGTTTCCTCAGTGTGAAGAGACAACCCTTTAGAACTAAGATGAAGAGAAATTTCTTTAGCTAGATGGTGATGAATCTGTGGAATCCATTGCCACAGAAGGCTGTGGCGGCCAAGTCTTTGAGTATCTTTAAGACAGAGATAGATAGGTTCTTGATTAGTAAGGAGATCGAGGATCAAAAATTAGAGTGAGTAGGCAGGAGAATGGAGTTGAGAAACATATCAGCCATGATAAAACGGCACAGCAGACTCAATGGGTCGAATACCTTAATTCTACTCCTAAATCTTATAATCTCATGGATCACCTGCTGTTAACATGCACATGAGAATATGACAATCAGTGACAGTACTAGGCGGAAATATACTACTAGCTATACATTTTCCCTGACCTCCTTCAAGACATTGCAGAATGTGGATTTATCTGGATGGTGCTGTGGAGTTGGGTAGAACACAGTCTTTTTTAAAAAAACACAAGCATTACCTTCATTTCGGTAACCAGCAAATGAGAATGTTGAGACTTTTTTTTAAGACTCATATCTGCACATGAGTTTTATTTCTCCTCATTTCTTTGAAACTTCTTAAGTCCCTGTTCTTTTAGCCTTGATAAAAGACTGCTAAAGGATGAAAACCTTCTTCGTTCTTTCTAGAAAAGATGGCATAAGTTTTGCCACTCAATTGTAAAACTTCTCACTCATTACCATTTTCTTGACAGCAAATTAAGGATTGGCAACAATTAAATCCTAATCTTTCCAGCAATGCCAAAATTCCATGAAAGAGAAAATACCTTACACCTACATCCATTTCTTTATTGCAAATTATACATATTCCTAATTGTCTTAAATTGCACTTTAATTACTTAAGGAAACAATTATACAAACTATACTATTTAAACACATTGGTTTCTTTAGGTTAAGAATCAACGATATTTATAAAGTATTAATCATGGATGCTTCTAAGCAAAACCTAACAAGCTCTGTGAACCTTTTAGGTGAAAATTTGAAATTCCTCATCTTGAAATGTTTCTGCCTATTGAAATTTAACAGATTTTTCATTACATAACAAACTGTACATTCAGAATTGTCAAAGTGAATTTAACACATCCATTTAGCAAAAATGAAGCAATATAGGTTGAAAAATATTTTAATTTTAGCACATTCCTTAATATGAGAACAAGTCAAGGTTACATAAAGTTAGTAATGTGTTAAATTACTGTAGAACGAGGCAGTTCAGAAACAAAAATGAGCATATATTTAAAAGTTCCTTTGGAATGGTACAGTATATATATAACATATACACATCTATACTGTTATTATGTAAATATACTGGATTAAATTTGAACAAGAAGTGTTGTATAAAACTTACAGGCTGTAAAACTTCCTCGTGCTGCCTGGCCTGACTCTGTCGGTTTATGAAAGACCTTGTTAAATGCTTGTAGTGGTTCAGCAAGCAAACGATCACGACCACCATTATTGTCATTGCCACAACAATGATGATTATCTTGACGAGTTCTTGTTCAGCTAAAACGACAAACAAAATAAAACTAATTTCCTTAAAATTATCAGGATAGATCACACTGAAATGCAGATAGTTATGATTAACAGTAATTCCTTAAAATGGCCTCTTTGACAGCATTTCGACAGTTGCCTATTAAAGTTTTATAAATTCCTGATTGTATTTAGTTGAATTAAATAAAACCTGGATTATCTTCTGCTGAATTTAAAACATGTCATGCAAGAAGGTTTAAAAAGAGCTACCTTTTTCCCAAATCCATTTATTTGACTGTGTAACCTTCACATTGGTGACATTCACCTCATCACTCTGCATAATCAAGATGTGGAATTCAGCCATACACATCTAGCTGCACTTAAACATGCTATAATAGTAGAATGAGCCAGACTTCAGAGGCAGTGTGAAGTTCACAATGTCTGCATGCACTGTAGATATCGCAATACTCAGGTGCTAGACTTAAACGCTGTGGCAGAGACTGTGATGACCACAAATTAACTGAAATCAGTGGACGAAATACACAGTGTGGCAGGATGTTGCTTGTGCTGTGGAAACAGCTTAATAAGACATATGGCCTTGCCTCTTTTGCTTGGCAAAGAAGTTTTTCTGCTAGTTGTTTACTAAATTTAAATATACAGGAAAAGAACTAGACATTTGAACTTCTGGGTTCTTCAGCCAGCTCACCACAAAGGAAACTAGAACAGTACACGAGAGTATGCAAAGTCCAACGGACGGATGAGACAACACCCTCTGACTATAGTGGATTTTTGCTACATGCCATGCAATCTTGATATTGCAAAGAACAACTCAGACTTTATCTTCCATTTTTCTGCACCAAACATTTTTGTCAATTTCTGCTGAAAAGAATATATTTGTCTGACTTTGAAATGAACATATGCAGGACAACTGTGCGCTCAATGCTTTTATATTTTCAAATAGAACATTCTGTTACGTCACTATTCTATTTTCCTGGTGTTTAAGATTTAGAGCTTAGTTGTCAAAAATGTTAAACTGTACATGACGGGCATGAGGAGATGAGTAGTATTTCTGCATTTACTAAAAGACAAGACAATGCCTTCAACCTTTAACAAGCTTTGCTTCTGAACAGTCTGAATGAGGGCCATCGTGCTATCTGCCCTGAGAGTGAATTTCTATCATCAATACTTGTAAGTGGTTATTAAAAAGTTTTAATTTCCTGCTGGACACATTTGAACAAAAATAAGAAGACAAAGCAACAGTGTTTACATTGAAAAGCATGGATATTTAACACTAACATAACATCACGTTAATGAGGCCGTGGAAGACATCTAATTTCTACACAATCTTCATCTTCAACTCCATTGTTAAAAAGCAAACTGCCGTACATCATAATACTTCAAAAAATAAAGATCAGATATTACAATGATCTACGGAACAACATTTTTGAAGGAAACTACACAAATTTATTTTCTTTTGTTATTTGTTTATAGCATTTTTTATAAGACCATGTGATGTCGGAACAGAAGTAGGCCATTCAGCCCATCAAGTCTGCTCTGTCATTCAATGAGCAAATGGCTGATCTGATAATCCTCAACTCCACTTTCTTGCCTTTTCCTCACAACCCTCAATTTTGTGACTGATTAAAAATCTCACCATCACAACCTTGAATATACTTAATAACTCAACTTTCACAGCCCTCTGTGGTAAAGAATTCCACAGACTTACTACTTTCTGAAAGAAGAAATCACCCTCATATCTGTCTTAAATGTACATTTGTTCTGAGATTATGCCCTCTGTCCTAGACTATCCTACAAGGGTCAATAAACTTTCCGCATCTACTCTGTCAAGTTCTGTAAGAATCTTATATGCTTCAATAAAGTCGCCTCTCATTCTATATTTCATGAGTACAAGTCCAAACTACTTGGCCTCTCCTAATTAGACAGTCCTTCATATGTGGAATCAATGAGGGACTATCGCTAATGCCAGCATATCTTTCCTTTGATAAGGGGCACAAACTATTCACAATATTCCAGCTGTGGTCTGAATATTGCAGAACATCTCTACTTTCATACTCCATTCCCTTTGAACTAAAGGCCAGCATTTAATTTGCCTTCCCTGTTATTCGCTGAACTTGGATGACAACATGTGCTTTCTATGATTCATGGACAAATCCATCTTCCGTAGCTTTCTGTAGTTTTTCTATTTCCCTCTAATTGTTAGATTCCCTTAGCACTAAAGTAGGAGGTGTCAATGCAAATTTGTTTCTTTTGACCACCTTTCTTTTAAAAAATCAAACTATCACTAAAAGTTTCACAAGACATAATGATATTTGCTGCTAATTAGCTAGGAGGTGCTAGCCCGCGTGTAAAATGCTACTTTGTTTCTCATTTACTTATTTTTCACAAATTGGAGTTTATTTTGACTCTTCTACTACCTTCACATGCTGAACCTGTTTCACATTTGTTATGAACCAGACCAAACCCCCTCAAAAGGAGACAGGCTAGACCCTAACTTTTTCTTATTTTAAAGGCAAGTGCCAGGCTTTGATTCCAGACGGAACTTGATTGTCAAACTCTCAGGCTTGAAAGAAAACACACTTTATTCATCCACTATAATTAAAATACAGACAAAATAAAAATAAAATAAAAACATCAGCCTAACTGTAACTCTATCTAAATACTTAACAAAACAAATAAACTGTTCATTAACTGCTCCAATATTGTAACGTCCCATAAACACATCCTTGGCAATGGCAAATTATGTAACACAGATTGCCTCATATGCAATTCTAGTAGCAGGAAAAGAGCCTAAGCTTCTAGCTGTCACAAAGACAGAGATGCAGCAGCTTTCACAGACCCACCAGCTACTGAAAGCTAAAACTGAAATCCTGGTTCTGTGGGAGCCTGATCCCATCCATTCACGCTGGTTGTATTGTTCCAACTTTTAAAAGAAAAATCCTAAGGCCTCACAAGCTGTTTACTTTATTGACTTGTGACATCTGTCTCAAGCTCTCTTCATTACAAAAGCCAGGAAAAAAAACTCTTAAAACCGTAGTATCATCCCACATTAACGCAGCAACGTTTACTCACATTACTCACAAGATTACTGAAACTGCGATCAAGGAAATATTTAATGTACCCCATACAATCCAGCAAATCAATATTTCTTAAATTCACATGATAATTTGGTGAAATTAACCAATAAAAATATGCAATGCCACAGAGTCACTAAATTTGATAATTCCTTGGTGTATCCAAAGTATTTTGGGTCAATTAGCTCAGTTGGCTAGACAGCTTGTTTGTGACACGCAGTGATGCCACGCATGACTTCAATTGCTGCACTGGCTGAGGTCACCATGAAGGTCCCACCTTCTCAACCTTGCCCCTCACTTGAAGCTTGGTGACCTTCAGGTTAAACATATCACCAGTCATCTCTCTCAGGCCTATGGTCATCCGGGACTATGGTGACTTTACCTTAAATTGTTCAGGGATAAACATGTTGCCTCTTGGAACTATGTTAAATTTTCACACTGTATGTTTTACACCTATTGCCATTGATTTTCCAAATATATAAAAGTAATAATGTGCGCTTTTCTTTGTTCTGTTGACTAAATTATATTCTCAGGAACTGCCTGGTTCAAAATTGCAAAGGTATCATCCAGTCCCTTTTGACTCCCTCAATCTGCAGATTCCCTGTACTCAGCTTCTTAGGCAATCTTTGGTATCAGCCAGTTCCCTAAGAATTGACACAAACTAGCATTGTTTCATCAGGAGCAACAGAGGTGATAATAGAAAGAATACAAATGGATTTTTGCATTATTCAGTCCACTTGATAAAAGATATTACTGGACAAAATTAATTTATATCATATTTAACTAAAATGATTTTGTGCTCCTGGGTTTCCTCCTATTTCACACATTAGTATAAACATTAGAGGATTGTACTACATATTTGCCTTTTTTAATCCTGGTTTTGGGTTCACCTCACCAAATACTATACATAAAAAAACAGGATAAAATGGTTTACTGTAAAAGTGTCAAAGTTGCACTTCTTTTGAGTAGCACAGATGTGTGATGTCAGCATACGCAGCCCACTCAGTACTGTGAAATTTTGTGACGGGAAAGGAACAGTGAAGTCCCATGCCTGAGACAACTTTGCATCAGGAATCACTAACGAAATCTGTGGTTTGGAGATACAAATAATTACATTCTGGAATTTGGCATTATCTGCACAGATTTGTAAACCTGACTGAAGATCTGAATCTTGTATGGGGGTGAGCACTGTCTTTTTTGGGTTCTGGGTACCAGGCATCGGTGGCTTGTGGG